GCCTGCCGATCGATTAGATCGGCGATCGATTGGTGATGCCTGCCGATCGATTAGATCGGCGATCGATTGCTGATGCCTGCCGATCGATTAGCTCGGCGATCGATTGCCAATGCCTGCCGATCGATTGCTCGGCGATCGATCGATCGCGACTGCCGATCGATTGGAGCGGCGATCGATTAGATCAGGTGACGTCACGCCTTCGCCCTCCCAAAAAACCCAAACCAACACACCAAAGCAAATCCTGCGCGTTTTGGACCTCTCGAGCCGCCGTCGGAGGCCGCAAAGTCTCGCGAGAGGGAGGCTTCGAAGTCTCGCGAGAAGGAGAGCGAGAGATCTTGCGAGAGCGGGAGCGACGCGGAGCGGCCGCAGTTCGGAACCGGGACCAGGAATCGCGACAGGGACCGGGAACCGCGGCAGGAACCGGGACCGGGAACCGCGGCAGGGACCGGGAACCGCGGCAGGGCCGGCAGCGGCACCGGGAGCGAGGCAGGCGCCAGCGGAGCCGGGCCCGGCCAGGCCAGGCCGCGGCTGAGGGAGGCGGCGGCGGCGGCGGCGGCGGGAGAGCGGCGGGAGCGCCCCCGGAGCCCTCACGGCACCCGCGGCCTCCTGAGGACCCTCCCTGACCCCCTCAGGACCCCCAGAGCCCCCGGGCCGCTCCTCAGAGCTCCCAGCGCTCTCCCGACACCGCCGGGACCCCCCGGAGCCCCCCCGGAGCCCCCCCGGAGCCGCGGCCATGTCGGACAGCGAGGACAGCAACTTCTCGGAGGACGAGAGCGAGCGCAGCAGCGAGGAGGGCGACGACAACGAGGTGAGGCCGAAGGCTCGGGGGGCTCCCGGGGGTTTTTGGGGGGTTCCCTGACCCCCCCCATCCCCCAGGCCGAGGAGCAGCGCGGGGGGGGCAGCGGGGAGGAGGAGGAGGAGGAAGACGACGATCGCCCGGCCAAGAAGCCGCGGCATGGCGGCTTCATCCTGGACGAGGCCGGTGAGCGGCGGGGCGCGGTTTTTGGGGGGTTTTTTTGGGGGGGTTTTGGGGTCCGCAGGCCCCTGACTCCCCCTCCCCCTGTGCCCCGCAGATGTGGACGATGAGTACGAGGATGAAGATCAGTGGGAGGATGGGGCCGAGGACATCCTGGAGAAAGGTGCGGGCTGGGGGCGCCGGGGGGGCTCTCCCCACCCCGGGGGGCTCTGGGGAGGAGGGGGGGGGGAAGCCCTGCATGGGGAGGGTCCCTGCTGCCCCCCAAAATCCCCAAAAAATGCCTTTTCCTTCCCCAAAACCCCTTTTTTTCCTTCTATTGTTTTTCCCCTCTTCAAAACCCCCTTTTCTCCCCTAAATCCTTTTTCCCCAAATCCCCTTTTCCCTGAATCCCCTTTTACCTAAATTAGTTTTTTCTAAATCCCATTTTTGTCCTTAAATACTTTTTCCCTAAGTCTTCTTTTCCCTAAATCCCCTTTTCCCTAAATCCCCTTTTCCCTAAATCCCTTTTTACCTAAATCCCTTTTTTCCCCCCAAATTCCCTTTTCCCCAAATCCCCATTTTCCTAAATCTGGTTTCCCACCAATTCCTTTTTTTCCCCCCTAAATCCCCTTTTCCCCCCCAAAATCCTTTTTTCCTAAATCCCCTATTTCTCCCCAAATCCCCTTTTCCCCCCTAATTCCTTTTTCCCCCAAAATCCCTTCTCCCCAAATCTCCTTTTTCCCCCCAAATTTCTTCTCCCCAAATCCCCTTTTCCCCCCTGAATCCCTTTCCTCCCTTTCCCTGGGGTCCCCAATCCCCCTCCCCACATCCCCTCCTCCATCTCATCTGCTCTCGCCTGGGGGGGATTTTTCCGTTGCTTTTTTGGTTTTGGGTTTTTTTTGTTGTTTTTTCATTTTTTTTCCCCCCAAACCCCCTCGGTTCTCCCCCATTTGCTGTTGATTTACTTCATCCTCCACCGTCACCTCCTCCCCGGGCCAGAGGAGATCGAAGGTAAGAGCCCCCCCCACCAAAACCCTCCCCAAATTCCTGGAATTCCCCTCCCGGATCCCCAAATCCCCCCTCAGCCCCCAAGCCCTGACCTTCCTCCTGCTCCTGCTCCTCTTCCTCAGCCTCCAACATTGACAACGTGGTGCTGGACGAGGATCGCTCGGGGGCCCGGAGGCTGCAGAACCTCTGGAGGTGACGCTGCCCCTCCCCCCGGCCTCCCCCACCTCCTTCCCACACTGCTTCCCCATTTCCCCCCCATTTCCCCCCTTTTTTCCCCATTTCCCCCCCTTTTTCCCCATTTTCCCCCCATTTTTCCCCCATTTTTCCCCATTTTTCCCCCATTTTCCCCATTTCTCCATCATTTTTTCCCCTTTTCTCTGCTTTTTTTTTGCTGTTTTTCCTTCATTTTCTTTCCGTTTCCTTGTTTTCTCCCCTTTTCTCCAATTTTTCTCTCACTCCCCTTTTCTCCTCATTTCCCCATTTTTCCCATTTTCTGCTGATTTCTCTGGTTTTTCTCCATTCCCCCCTTTTCTCCCTCATTTCCCTGTTTTCACTCAGTTTTCCCCCCATTTTCCCCCCGGTTTTTCCCATTTTTTTCTCATTTCTCCCCATTTTTCTCCATTTTCTCTCCGTTTTTTCCCATTTTCTGCTGATTTCTCCCCATTTTTTCCCATTTTTTCCCATTTTCTCCCCATTTTTTCCCATTTTCTCCCCATTTTTTCCCATTTTCTCCCCATTTTTTCCCGTTTTCTGCTGATTTCTCCCCATTTTTTCCCATTTTCTGCTGATTTCTCCCCATTTTTTCCCATTTTCTGCTGATTTCTTCCCCATTTTTTCCCATTTTTTGCTGATTTCTCCCCATTTTTTCCCGTTTTTTGCTGATTTCTCCCCGTTTTCCTCTGCAGGGACCAGCGGGAGGAGGAGCTGGGCGAGTATTACATGAAGAAATACGCCAAGTCCTCTGTGGGGGAGACGTGAGTGACCAATGAGTGACCAATGAGTGACCAATGAGTGACCAATGAGTGACCAATGAGTGACCATTGAATGACCAATGAGTGACCAATGAGTGACCATTGAGTGACCAATGAGTGACCAATGAGTGACCAATGAGTGACCATTGAATGACCCCTGTGTGACCCTGAGTGACCAATGAGTGACCATTGAATGACCCCTGTGTGACCAATGAGTGACCCCAATGACCTCTGTGTGACCCTGAGTGACCAATGAGTGACCCTGAGTGACCAATGAGTGACCCCAATGATCCCTGAGTGACCCCAGTGACCCCTGATTGACCAATGAGTGACCATTGAATGACCCCTGTGTGACCAATGAGTGACCCCTGATTGACCAATGAGTGACCATTGAATGACCCCTGTGTGACCAATGAGTGACCCCTGAGTGACCAATGAGTGACCCCAATGACCCCTGAGTGACCATTGTGTGACCCTGAGTGACCCCTGAGTGACCCCTGAGTGACCCCTGAGTGACCAATGAGTGACCATTGAATGACGCCTGAGTGACCAATGAGTGACCATTGAATGACCCCTGAGTGACCCATGAGTGACCAATGAGTGACCAATTAGTGACCCCAATGACCCCTGAGTGACCCCAATGACCCCTGATTGACCAATGAGTGACCATTGAATGACCCCTGAGTGACCCCTGAGTGACCCTGAGTGACCATGAGTGACCAATGAGTGACCCCAATGACCCCTGTGTGACCCTGAGTGACCCCAATGACCCCTGAGTGACCAATGAGTGACCCCAATGACCCCTGAGTGACCAATGAGTGACCCCTGAGTGACCCCTG